ATAGCGCAGGCCCTCTACATTCTTTGTTGCTCTACGTTGTGGTGCCTCTAACGCTTCTAGGTCGCGCTTCAACCAAGGTGGCCAAACTTGGATAGCGTATTCAACATGCGGGCGCACGTAGGAATTGTGCATTATTGGGAAGATTGATGGGTCGAATCTCCCGAATGCCCTTCGCAGCATGCCGACGTGCTAGTTGCCTCTTTTCGCAGCTACCTCAGCCTGTTTTGAACAGTTGTGGTCGCTCTGTACGAGCACACCAAGGTCACGCTCCTGGGAGCTGGTCTGCAATCCGTTTGTCTCAAGCAAATAGGTGTACTTATGTCTACGGCATAATTGTGCAACGCGACATTTGTCTACGTTGAATGGTAGAGCATTTTGAGCTGCCCAGTTCGACACCGTGTTAAGATCGTGATCGTCCGGTCCTCTGATCCTTCGCCGTATCTGATATCATTCGCAAATAATAGGAAATCGGAAGCAATTGATCTTGTCAAATCGTTAATTAACACCAAGAATAGACGAGGTCAAATCACCGAGTCTTGTGGTACACCGCACACCACTTCGATTGCATCGGACAATGATTCTCGGACTCTCACCTCTAGCCGTCGTTCCTGTAGAGAACTGCTAATCCAACTCAGTCGTCTCTATTGCCTATGCAATTGTTTATCTTTTTTTGGACCTGTCAATCATTTCCCATGCATGCACTTGTTTCGACCCCTGCATGCAACTTTGGAAATCATCTTGATATTAACCTGTTCTCTCGAGTTTTGTTGCAATACCGTTTATATCGCGGCATTTTTACTATAAATTGCTTTTAGTTTATGAACAACGTTAGTTATCGACAAGCGGTGGAAGACAGTGCAAACAAATCTTACAGTAGAAAAAATAGCTTAGCGAATAGAGGCGAAGGAGGTGGTGTATTGTCGTGGAAACGAGGCCTAAGTATTTAACCACTCCTAGCGTTTATGATTCCTTCGCTCAAATTCTGTGACGCTATTCTCAGCCTGATCACAATAGAGGTATACCTTGGGATCCTACTTTTGTACGCAGTATTTGTGGCACTTTACCCATCCAAGTTGAATGTTAGACAGCAACCAATCTCATTGTGTGCAATGGTTACACCTGTATGTGGCATTCGAAATAAGACTTGTAGCATGTCGAATGCTTTTTCGTGAACACCTCTGCAGTGTTGCTAAGTTCAACTAACCATCCGCGTGGGGTCTGTTAGTATTGTCAAACAGCTTTTTACGAGTGCATCGTGTTTACCTGTGGTATAACACTTACCGTGGATTACTCGCCAAGTCCTACAGGTTTTGGCCTGCTACAGTCCCAGTTTTCTACGGTAGCACACTGTCAGAATACGGTAATTATGGCGAGAACAGGACGATCCCTATCACCTCCAAATTACCTGCCTCTTCGTAGAATGAATGACACAAATGAACGACAGCTTCACTAAGAGCAATCCAAGTTTCGTTACACGGTCACTTACACTCTCGACCCACTCCAGTCGTGTTCCAGTACATCAAAGTTATTCTCGATTTCGTAGAAGTGCCTGTTTAAGATACATGCTTGAGAGAAATAGGTAACAGTTATGAGGACGATTGAAGACCTTTTTGGAATTACTCGCTTTTTATGAATGGATTGCGCTGCGCGATCACAGTACGGACCGCAATTTTCATTGAAGTAAAATCTGATTAAGTCGATCATTGGGATCGTAGGCGATGAAGTACTCTGACATTGAGTGCTGCCCGCCATAAAACACTGCGCTCTACCTGACGAGATCGACTAAGGTCGAAACGCGTCATACAGGGCAGTGTTTTCTAGTGGGCAAACCCAATATCTACCTGCTTCAGCAGTTAGGGTCCAAGTGGGTGATTTGACCAAGATTTAGGTCAATGTGAATTGCGGTTCACATTGAGATTGCAGGTCGCCATCGATTCACACAATGAGTACTTCAAAATGACCCTCCAATCAACGATTGTTTTCAGAGGGTTTATGGAGAATTGGTTGTGATGTTGATAAAGGTACAGCGCAGTTGGACTCAGCAAGATAGCCACCACGTATCTAGATGGCGTAATGACTGTTTGACTGAGCCGTAGTAAGACGAGCATACGCAAAGATGCTTACGGCCACTTACCATTCCAAACTTCGCTAGTGACGGAGTAGTGGAAGACGCATTCACTGGACTCAACCTATAAGATGTGGAATTGAATCCCGGTAACGGACTTCTCGATTTGAGGTATGCCGACGATACTATCCCAATATGTTACAAGTTGTAAACTTTTCGGGTGGTGTTGAACATATTAGCATAGGCCGTCAATTACTTGGTGTCAAGTTATGCCCCCTGAGCACACAGAGCTTTCTTGTGGGATTGATATAGGCCAACGCATGTCAAGTAAAAATAGGCTTTAGGTACTTAACTGGGAACATTTTCAGCATTTTTCTACTAGCGCTGCGGATGTAGTGATGCGTAACGTAGGCATGGAATTGTAATAAAAGCGTAAACAGAATAATACATGCATGCACATCACTCAGGTAAACGTTTGCGCGTGGTGCCGACAAATTTCTTGGAGTCCACAAGGAAAGGGGATACATACGGTAAGGTGGAGTTGTGATAACGTGTTGTGCGAGAAAACAAAATTTTAACATTTAGAGCGGGTAGACGAGCAGGAGAGGGCTTTAGCTAAATCCGCGAGAAAGGGGTAAAAAGGGTCATTTAAAACATTTACTGAAGAGTTGTCACACGCAATAAAGTGCTTTGTAACGATGAAGTCAAACAGAGACTCTGGGCAATTCACTACACTAGGAAATGAGCTTAATGGAACGCACAATCAATGTGGTCTTTTTGTAGAAGACCAGGAAAAATGATAGGCGTGCAATATACCCAGTGAGAAAGAACACAGGCAGTCACTAATTTTTCAATTAAAGAGCAAGGTACTGAAATCATTTTGAGTCCGAGGGCGCAGAACGATAATTCCCGCAACTTGCGGAACGTTTCGGAAACGTGTATTGACCAAGCTAGATTGTGAGATAAATCTACACCAAGGTACCTAACAGTGGATCAACTAGGTATATTATGGTCGCTTACGACCATTGGCGGAAAAGTGTTTGTCACAGTCAGTCGTTTGTCAGTACGGAGAAAACAGAAATTTACATCGCGGCATTTGGAAGCGTTGAGAGTAAGCGATCAGGACGACGACCACTGCTGAAGCGCGTCCAGACCGATTTGCAGAGACGTTGATGATTCAGCAGCTGGAGCAGTGCTACCTAGAATGACGCCGTCAGCCTACTTACATCCAATAAAGTCGGAGGAGGAGGATTGGAAGCATTTGGCTGTATAGAAAAAGAGGAGGGGATTGGATTGCTCCTTGTAAGACGCCCTAGTTATCACTAAGAGTGTGGGACTTTTTACCGTTTAGCTAGGTAAAATGAGATCGATCCACGAAGTACTTGCTCACTGTTTCGAACACTGCTGGTTGGACACTATTCTCAGACAGCTGATTAAGCAAGTTTGATCTGTCGGCACTGCCAAAAGCGTTGGCGTAATCAAGGAAGAGAAGCCGCTCATTCTTGCTTTTCGTATCCAATGAAGATGTTATAGAGTGAACAAAGTATGCTACGGCATCTAACGGCGGACGTCGGAGTCTGTACGTAAACGGAGGTGCGTCCATTGCTAGAGTGCTTGTTAAGATGCAAGACACAAGTAGTCGTTCGATGAGGTTCAACATGACAGATGTACAGGCGATCGGATGGAATTTCGTGGATCCCTCCATTAGCAAGTGTGTTCTCCTGATAAGCCTCCAAATATTGGGAATAATTACACCGTGCTGACCATTGGTAAAGATCAGCTATACATTGTTCAGAAATTCAAGGGCCAAGGTAGCTGTGTAAAGACTATACGAAGCCTAGACTAGGTAGTCGCACGAGATGGAGCAATAAACTGAAGACTTGTAAACTTATATATACGCATGGTCTGGGCAGAGAAATTAAAATGTAAATTCCTGTTACCATGGTTCTATCATACAAATTAATTACAGTAATCAACTTACGAAGAGGTTTGCAATCGTAATAGGAAAGCGCAGAAACAGCAAGACATGTGGCAGCGTGGCAATGCGGTACAACGTAGCAGTTTGCTAATCAGAAGACTGTAAGGGATGAAATGTTTGACCTTGAGGAGTTAAGGATATGCCAATGATGCGAAGGGAAGACCCAGTGTTTCATAATGCGTGTTAGAAGGAGAAGTACAAATTTCTGTAAGGATATAAAATGAAGGTTTTGTGAAAAAGGGAAATTATGTCTTCAATATGTAAACCCGTTTGGCTGAAAATTCAAAGTTCTCTTTGGACTTTACAAGCTGTATAAGCGTTTGTTAGATCAAAAAATTCGATAAAGAACCATACAGCAAGACTGCGAGGTGGTTTCGCCAATTTTCATCACTTATGGTGCCGAAGCGGAATAGCTACCATCAGTTCTAGCCTGCTAAGCGCTTGTGAAATGTAGCCCATCAGATCGATAAGCGCAAAAGCTTACTTGCGTTTGTCCACCGGTGCCTTTGTAGTTTAGTTCATATCTGGTAGCAACTGTGAATGAGCAATTACATTATTTGGCGCAAGAGGAATGCTCCTCTCAGCATTGTTATATCACACACCAGGCTCCGATGGCTGCGCCATGTGTTACGAATTCCAACCCAACGACTACAAATGCATGTGCTGTTTGCGTGAACAGGATGTAAGTGGAAGTAAAGCAGCGGAGTTAAGTCAGGGAATTCGTTAAGAGGAATGAAGCATCGCCCTTTGTTTTGGTCTCGGTTGGTGTCTTGGTTTCTGGGTTGGGACCCAAAAATAGTGGCCTTGTTTGGTTGGACAGACTATAGTGCAGCAACAAGTCTACTTAGTAGCGTTTGCTATGTAAGTTGTTTTGCCTCTTCTCTCCCACCATGATTTTATCATGCATGCAAAATAATGGCAGGATATAATATCTTTTTAAAACCGTCTGATGGAGTTGCGTTGAAGAACAATAAAGAATTTGTGTGTTATCTTTAGTTGATGTGCTGAATAATGAATGGTGATAATACGTCCCCAAAAGCTATTGTCAGCTAACGAGGTAAGATGGTTTCATAAGAAACGTAAAAGGTGCCTAAGAGGCAAATCAACCTACTCATTATTGGGACGGCTGTACACTAAAGCACCGATAAAAATACCTCAAGCGCGCTACTCTTTCCAGACCTGTATTTCTATCACCTTGATCAACATGAAGCGCCATCACATTGGATGAAGGCTGATCTTAAGTACATAATCTTGTAAGACAAATAGTGAACATGTCAACGCGTTTTGAAGTTCCGTCAAAATTGAATCAGAAGAAACAATTTCAAACGAAGCATTGTCGAATTCAAATATGGTTGTTTGAATAAATGCAAGTTATTCACCTGATGAGCGACTCACAGCAGCTGAGTTGAGCGGAACAAAAGCAACTTAGTGGTTAGTACTGGAGCTTTCTAGACCTTGCGGATTCTGCTACTGACAGATACCAAAGAAAAAAAAACGATGATACTTTTGTCAGTGAAACACCTTATGGCTGGCCGCCTCGAACTTAAAACCGTACAATGGAAATGCAAAAACAAAGGACAGTGATGCCTAATTAGTCCTAAATTACCATTGCTCGCATTTATCTCATAATTATAAAAGAGAAGAATGACGAAGTTTGGGTGCCTTAAACGAACGAGAAAGGAGTTCTTCTGTGGTTGATTGTAAGCGGAAAAGGAAACTGGACTTGTGTGTGCCGGTCTCTCCATAGAGGATGCCATAGATGGGACAAGGAGGTCATGATCATGCTTGTTCTGTCGTTCATCTTTTTGAAGTTCATTGATTTACTCCGCGGCGTGTTGATTTGTTTTCAAGAAACTTTGAGAACAATGTAATCGGGTTAAATCGATTACTTCTTCCGCAGATTCTGTTAGGGAAAATGTTTTTTCAATGTTTTGCCGATTAAAAGCATGTGAGCCACGTGAGGTATCTGTGGATCGATGGTGAAATTGTGTGCGATTAGAGTGCAGGGATTCATGGGCAAGGAAAGGTTATTAGAAACTGAAATGCGACTATGTCGTTCTGCTCAATGAAAATAGTTAAGTTTGTCCTAAAACAAAGTATTTGATTCGTCGCTGGAGTTTCATATGAAACGGAGAGAACTTTCAAATAACAACTTTTCAATACCTAATTAATTGGAAACTTTGATCCACCACCCTCATTAATAAAACTCTGATTGTAAGCGCTTTTTCATCAATTGGCCAACATTCCAAGGCCCTTTGTTGTGCTCAGGTTGACCTATTTGCCTTCAGTGGATTTCAGAAGATGACTGCAAGCAAAGATGACATCGACCACCACTCATCCGTTTAGATTCTGTCGAGCGATTACTTTTGAAATCTTGATTGTCCAGTTTCACATACATGCGAGCGAATGAATCACTCAGACCTTGTTGTGAGTACGTGTGCTCCAATACTGGTTTTCCCAAGTTAGACAAGCGGCTGACCATTTGTTCAAGGCTCAGAGCATTGTTGGTTTGTCGAAAGCTCTGATAATTAAAATTAGAAGCGTTATTAATTGAGACATTTCTGCCCGGACAGCGTAATTCATTAGTTAACAATCCAAACTCCTTTTCCCCATTAGATGACAGTGGCCCGGGTGAAATATGTTTCACCGTCACTGTAGTGTCCTTGTGAGGTGCTAGATTTTCGTTTGCTTGTTCCAGAGGTACCCGAGCGCCTAGTGGTGTTAGAACCTTGTCCACTTCCTCATCGTAACGTAGGCTGGATTCAGCCTGTAAGGACAGTGGAACTTTCCCAGAGTCCAAATCATCCAAGGTAGCTTTCAGACAATAGCAGCGGCCTAGCTTTTCTTTTATCAAATTTTCGTCGTCTATCATCCGTCCAACATCGCCGTTGCATCCCACACAAACTTGTGGATGAGCATATGCGTCGATGGAGATGGACGTGCCATCCCGCCACTGCATGTCATTCAGGGATTCTTGAAGTCTGTACCTCGTCGAAGCTTGTGTGGCTAATCCAAGCATTTCTAAAAGGGGTACGAAAATTATAATTAAGTGAATTTCCAATCAGATTGAAAGGCATTTGAAAAGTTGTGAAATTGATGATGAGTGGCCTGATCTTACCTGGACCTGGATCCAAACTTAAAGTACAGGACTGCACCTTCCAAGCTGCTGGATCACCCTGTGGGTGCACAATATCCCTCTGACCTTCACCACGGGCTACAAGATCAGTCAGTGATTGAGTGTTACAAATGCTTGTTTGACGCCCCTCGCTAGGGCTGGCAGGATCCAATGTCGTGTATTGTGTCGACATTTTATGCGTCCATTTGGTAATTGAAGATGATTTGCCTAAGCTATTATACTGTGGCAAGTTTTGAGCGTCTTCGCTTGTAATGGTGGATGCCAACAGAGGATGCGAAACGTCCCAGGGATTTTTGAATAACTCTGGTACCTTGCAGTTAGTAGATTGTACTGACGATACGGACCCCAAGGAAAGCTCCTCAATAGTTGGTCGAATGATGCAGCACTGCGACAAAAGCCACTGGGATGTGGCTCCAGCGACATGTTTCATGGCTTCTTCCGGACTGACGAACACAAGGGGCGAGACAAATTGACGATGCAGTCCAGGAATTAGTACCTATGAAGGAAGCAATGTCACGAAACGTACAGTAAACTTAGGGTGAAAACATGATCAGGTGATCTTGTTTTTCAGTTTGACAATTACTTTCCTTTACTATACGTTTCTCAGTAAGATAAGAAATCGAACGAAATCATAACAACCAAGATTGTTCACCTACCCTAAATGCCGACCGTCTCTGGGGCCTATAACTACTGCTGAACGTTGCTAAGTGTATGGCCTAACCGAGAGTCTTTCACTGCCTAGTGGCACAGCTTAACGCAATACTGGGAGTTAGCTAACTGCGAGGTTTGTCAGAAATTTTGTGTAACAGTGATATACTTGCGAAATTGCGTCACACAAAGCTCTCGTTATTGTTAATATAGGCTTAAAGATGGGCATTAGTCAGGTCATCGTCAGTTTCTTGTGTAGATTGACGATCAAAACACCTACACTGCAGTTGTCTAGACTGAACTGTTACTTTGTCCTAAAGACGTTGCAGCTTAATGCCTGTACACTTTCCCGCGTGGTCTCGTGTCCATTCACTTCCTGACCGTTAAAAGTACACAAGATGTTGGCTTTGTTGATCAGTAAACAAGACTGACGAGAGTAATCCTAAGTACGACGGGTCTGAAGGAAGATGTCATTGCACATTGGGCGATCATTTCTATTACACCAAGACTGAGAGTTCACCGTGACTTGGTTATTGTACCGGTGGGAGCAGGATGAGCTGAAATAGGTGGTATACCCACTCACTACTTGCACATGGTCAGGTGGTAACCGTTATGTTGACAATGTAAAACCGGGTTCCACCCTCTGTAATGTCACCCTACTAGGTAAACTCATCGACCCCTATGCCAATGCTTTCAATCCGTCACCCTAAATCTCGCCGTTTTATAGATATTCACTGGGATAATGTTGCGAGACTGTGAAGTCCAAGAAGCGGAGGACGAATTACACTAGCAAATAGTCTCTTCAGGTACACATTTCTCTGGTCCATATTAGAGAACCGGATTCGGAAACATTTTACCGAATGTTCAGTAGATTAAGAAAACTTCCACACTTTTGGCCTAGCGCTGCTACTAGATAAGCGCGCTGCCAATCTCGAGTATGCTGACGTCATCGTCCTCTCGTCTGAAAACCATAGCATATGCCGCCCATTGGTAAAACTTGGAAGGTTGAAGTAACTGGGCGCTGTAGATGCTATGCCTCATCGAAGTGCAATTTGCTGCTAACAAATTATCATTCAGTCAGGCTGGCTGGCCGAACAACCTCCTCGTGGTGCCAGCTGGGTGGTTCGGGTTTACCCCCTTCCAGCAAATAGTTCGGCAGCAGTGTTCCAGGACGTGGTGGGTTTTCGCCTGGCAAGCGTTCTCCCTATAAAAAGCCACAAAAGTCAGTTTAACAACACTGTGATGTGGCGGTTGTGACTCGCCACTAACTAAAGTCAGCCATTGCTTATCCGGACAATCGCTTCAAGTCCACAGATATCAAGCATCCATTTAGCACTGGCGACACCTTCAAACACATTCAAGCAAAACGACAGGAAACATTTACCAATCTCATAAACAAATCTAAACACGCCTACATGTGAACTTACATACGTTCATACATAAACATATGCAACAACCCCATTGTTCCATTGTACATTAATTGATCACATTTTGTACTCTTAACATGATCATGCCTGCGCAGGCGTGCCTCGCTTAGTCGAGAATACACAATTTATTTATTTATTTATTTATTCATCCTCATTCTTGAAACCGCAATGTTTGAACAAGTGCGCCAAGCTACTTCTGATTATCACGTACGGTCGATGCAAATAGACGCACTTGCCATTTTCTGAACCACTCCTCACAAATTTACTGCACACTACCGTGCTCACATCCATCCGACTCGGATTTATCAGCTCTACAAGGTGCATAGTATCTTTCAGATTATTCTGAGCATTTCAACGTATGATTCACCTCGGTGCTTGTGGCGAATTTCGTTTCAGATACTCAACCCTGCAATCATCCATTTTAGAACACTTCGTGGAGATTACCCAATCAGAAAAATTTTCTTGAAGCAAAAAAGTTACCAATAAAACGTTCTTCTTTAATACCAATTACAGCAGCCACCTCGCGTTTCCTACTAAGTTGCGACTCACTCAGCATTCAATTGGAATGGATCGATAGCCCAAAGCAAATCGGCACTCTTTATGGTCTTGTTAACCAGCTCGCCGCCGTAACCCAGCACAGTGACCGGCGCAGACACATCCTTCATTTGTCTACCCTCATTTAACCTTTGTAGCTACATTGCCAACCTGACTAGGACACGCGACCGACCAAAGTCGGAGAAGTAAAAGCATCACCCAGCTCAGTGTGTAAGTTAACGACTCTATGCTGACTATCAGAAAGCAAGTAGCTGCAGAGCCAACTGGGCTTCAGGAGATAGGTAACTATGGGTCGACAGCATGTAATCGACTAGTCAAATTGAGGTTAGTCTGCTCACAATGTTTCAAGTGGCCCCATTTAAGGTGTGCAAATCTTTCCAAACAACAGGCGTGAGATCTGACTAGCGCCTAAGACGACCACTGGTTTTGTACTGCGTGTTCCACCATCCCATTAGCAGAAGCACTTGAACACCGAATGTACGCTAAGCTTATATCATTGGAAGCGAGTAGGCGTCAGGAAAAACTAGTGGGTTTTACGCAAAGCAATGGTTCAAAATTTGCTTCGTCCGGACTACGATCGACAAAGTCCTCATTGCCGTTATCTCCTACCATTATGGAAAAACGCCGGGCAAAAACAGATCCGTGCTCTGATGGACAGAATTATTCAGGACCACGAATATCAGGCACCACCCGAAACGTGTGATCGATCAAATTCCAACGGTCGTAAAAGTTGTATCAATAACAAGTGTGAGACAGCTGGACCAGAGTCTATTACATTTGCAACTCAAGGGTCTCTGCTCAAATTCGAATCCCCCAAGACACCAGTCACATATGCAGAGGTCGCTACAAAATTCCCTCCGGGAAGTTACATTTGGGATCTACACTGTTGCAAACACCGCTAAGACGAATAGAGAGTTAAACAGCAGACCATTTTAACTAGTTTTAAAGCCAGGAGCGACGATGATCCGACTTTGCAACTCAACAAAATGGGTTTCAATATTAGAGCCCTAACCGCTCTGAGCACAAATGTCTCTAGATGTTCCGTCATCACATTTCGGAAGGAGCTGTCTGACGACCAAGACCAGTGAAATTCACTGTGCCTTTTGATAAACGTAAAAGCCTAACACACAAACCCAGTGCTGGTTATTCATCACCATAAGTCCGCACATTATGCCAAACTCAGAATTTGTGGAGTAACATTGGAATCCGCTACTGACGCAGCAAACGTTGTACGCTTAGCAATTGCGCTACTACACGGGTGTTATATGGCATGCATCTACCCTGAAGTTACTTGGAGCACCCGTCAATCGAAAATAAACATCGCAGGACACAGCAAGCTGCATTGTCTAAGCACAATATTTATTTATGGTGTGTCGGAGCTTCTTTCCCAAGATAGTCTGAGGGCGGTGATCAGCTTCAGAACAGTGGCGGCTCATTCGATATGCACTTTGATAGGATTATGTGGTAGCGCATATGACCCAAGAATCCTAACATCCCAGGTTCAGTCAGAGCAGACAGTCATGGGAGGGTTAAAACCTTAGCGGAGACGTTGGAAAATGCTTCCATCTGAACTTCGGTTAATAGTTGCTGAAGCCTTGCCAAGACCAGACATGAGCCTATCTGAGGGAGCAAACATAATGGCGATTACACTGGAGCTTCACTTTACCCTTTGGGCACGCGATTCTACAATGTGTCTGCACGAAGAATAAGACTCGACTTGGCCAAATCATACTGCAAAAGATGTGTCATTATGCTACAAAAGAAACGAATAATGCTTGACCTCACATCGTACGGCATCTTATCACACTTAACGCAATTAACTGGCTGTGCGCTCCTCCGCCATCATGATCAACAACAACAACAACAACAACAACAACAACAACAACAACAACAACAACAACAACAACAACAACAACAACAACAACAACAACAACAACAACGGTAGTACATCTGTCATTTGAACTGATGCTTCGTTGCCATACAACCATGACGACATACGGAATAAAGAATAACAAGTGAGAGAGAAGCGGGACTTACCTGAAAAAGCTTGATGCCCTAAGCAAACATTCAGGGTCAAAGCGCTTACACATGGTGTAGACAACATACCGTCACAAACAGATGGCTATCGTGCAAAGATAAGGCAGCATCGGCGAGACAGCGTCCTTGCGGTCTTCACTGACACGCGTCATAATCGGTCGTTCCCCTGCAGATAGCTCAGCACCAAACACACTTCAAACAGCCAATCCCACTAGTAGATGGCAGCGGACGCGCCATTGGTGTGTGTTGCGAGCCATGTCCTGAAAAGTTTCGAACCAATCACAAGACGGGTCACATAGACTCCAGCCCGGAATGCGAGACGGACCGACGGCACCCAGTTTGGTGGTCAGTGACTTCATTTCCCGCTGCCAAGTCAACTTCTGTCCACCATAGCCTTGCGCCACCCTACACCTGGCAGACTAAACAATGCTCTCCTAGGTAAGCGGTGACCAGGCATACGTAGCACGTGCCCGAGCCAACGCAACTTATTCAGTGCTATCTGTTGTTCTAGGGAGCTAGCATGATTATCATTACCTAGTACTCGCCTACGCACATCATTGTTGCGGACACGCTGGTGCCATCCGACACCAGCAATGCTTCTCGGAATACGATGATCAATGACTTGAAGGCACTTCAGATTTTCAGACCGAGGTGGTTAAGTCTCACTCCTATAGAGCAGAACGGCCCTCACTGTGGCCTTTTATACACGGCCTTTCAGACGGAAGGAAATTCCCTTCTGTCGCCAAAGATGCCGCAGGTTCAAGAAGGCAGCTCTGGCCTTTGTAGTGCGTGAGCTGACGTCAGTTTCTTTAGTCCCATCGACGCTGAT